ACATATTAAACTATACTAATATAAAACTAATTACTCACTTATATATATATATATATATATATATATATATATACATACATGTGATTAAATGTGTGTGTATATATATATAACTACTATATACATGCAAATGTATATGTATGTATAAATATATATAAATATATTTGCATAAATTATATTTATATAAATATATTTACGTACATTATATTTATATTTATATAAATACATTTACGTACATTATATTTATATTTATACAAATATATATACGCATGTATAAGTATATATAAATATATTTACGTATGAATAAATATATATAAATATATTTACATAAATTATATATTTATATAGATATACATTCGCATGTATAGATATATATAAATGTATTTACATAAATTATATTTATATAAATATATATAAATATATTGGCATAAATTATATTTATATAAATATATATAAATATATCGGCATAAATTATATTTATATAGATATATATATACGCATGAATAAATATATATAAATATATTTACATATAAATTATATTTATATAAATATACATACGCATATATTTATATATTTATATAAATATGTGTATATATATATATATATATATATATATATATATATATATGTATGTGCATATATATATATAAATATAAATACAGTATATTATATATTCCCGTGTATGTGTACGAGGACACAGGCTCTGGTGTACCCGCACACATACAACGAAATCCCTATATATGAAGAAAAAAATACGAAGAACCGTTTCACATCTGGCCAGCGTTCTTCTTGCGAGCGAAGGGCGCGAGGGGGAGGAACGACGAAGCTTCTCCGTTCTGTCGTGCCGAATTTACGATGCTCGGTGTTCCGAAATTCGGTGCTTGGCCCGACGATGACTTGGCCCCGAAACGCTCGTCCGATCCATCCGATGCCGATTCGAGTGCGATTTCTCATTCGGCTGGAAATTCTCGAAAGGGTAAATTTGCGACAACTCGCGGGACACGGCGAACGGAGGAGAAGCGACAGAAAGAAGACTTCGTCGCGTCGTTCTCGAGCGTATCGCCGTAAATCCGCGCTCGAGAATTTTCTCGGAACATTTTGTCAGACGCGAGAAGACTTTCCTCGCGGAACTCTATTACGCGTCGAACACAATGGAACGTAACAGGAAACCCGAACACCGTCTATACGGATTTTTTGTTCCCGCGCGCAAGCGAATTATTATGCTCGCGACTTTCTGGAACGCGACGCGCGGATCCCGAGACACGTCGACGGAACGTCGATGGGTAAAACAGCGTTTCAAATTGCGAACGCTGTTTTATTTGGGCTTTCGCGAAGCTTTCAGAGTTTTACCGTACAAAATTATGTTGCGATCAGGTGACTGTTTTACGGTAGTCGTTTCATTGCCAACAATTTTTTTCTGATTTGATCAATGCTGTAAATTAATGCTGATTTATGAGAAAGGCGATCGATGATCGATTCTTGAAATGATCAAGAAACGAATTAATGAGATGGTTTCAACTTATTAATTAAGCGAAATAATTAATGTGAGAATATTTGAGAAAGTTCAAAAGCTCTGTCGAACAGTTTTCAATTTATTAAAATGACCAAGGAACGAAATAATTAACGTGAAAATGTTTGAGAAAGTTCGAAAGCTCTGTCGAACTGTTTTCGATTTATTAAAACGACCAAGGAACGAAATAATGAACGTAAAAACGTTTGAGAAAGTTTAGAAGCTCCGTCGAGCAGTTTTTAATTTATTAAAACGATCAAGGAACGAAATAATTAACGTAAAAAAATGTTTGAGAAAGTTTAAAAGCTCTGTCGAACAGTTTTCAATTCATTAAACTGATCAAAAAACGAAACAACGAACGTAAAAACATTGAAGAAACTTTTAAAAAAAACCCTGTCGACCAGTTTTCAACTAATTAAAACAATGAAGAAACGGAACAATTAGCGCAGACGATTTTTATTTCGCATAAAAATGTCGCAGATGAAGTTTCAGACGAGAGAAAAAAGAATCTCAAAAGAATTGAAAAACATCTACGCGTATTATTCTCAACCGACTATAAAAGATTATCAAAGAACCTTTCAAAATTATTAAAGGAACCATCGAAGAACATTTATTCGACTGATCTTTCATTGCAACTAAAAAAAGACAAACTTTATTTTGCACGAAGTGCAAAAGCCTCCGCAGTGTTTAATCGTAACAGAAAACAGTTCCTGTTTCTTCGCGTCAAAAACAGCAAGCTTTTTAAACGATGCGAATCTGAGAATTCGACGGATCGAAGTCGACAATCGAGCCTCTATTGTTCAAATTTTTACACAGTTTTCCATAAAAAGAAAATAAACAACGATGCGCGCGGTCTTGAACTAGGCGGGATCCGGTGTGTCCCGGTTTTCGAATGCTTCTCGCAGTCCGGCGAAGCTCGGCGAACTTATTCGAATCTCGCGTCGCCCGGCGAACTTATTCGAATCGCGCGTCGCCTGACGAACTTATTCGAACCGCGCGTCGCTCGGTGAACTTATTCGAATCTCGCATCGTCCGGCGAACTTATTCGAATCTCGCACTCGAATCGCGCGTCGCTCTGCGAACTTATTCGAATCACGCGTCGTCCGGTGAACTTATTCGAATCTCGCGTCGTCCGGCGAACTTATTCGAATCTCGCACTCGAATCGCGTGTCGCCCAGCGTCGCAATTAAACCCGAAGAAACGGAGCGTCGTCCCGGGAGCCGAACCGCCTCGGAATTCCAAAGCAGCTTGTTGTCTCCGAAAACCGGCGAAATATTTCGGGAGTCCCGGCGCGTCCTCTCCGGCGCCTCTTTTTCTCCACGGCTGGCAAACGGAGCGCTGGTCGACGATGAAACGGTCACCCTGCTCGCATTCTCCCCTATTCTCCCGCATCGTCTATTTTGCAGAATGTTTTCCCCCTTCTCCGGCATGACATTGAACACAGAGAGAAAGAAAGAGAGAGAGAGAGAGAGAGAGACGGTGAAATCAAACTCAGGGGAATGTAAAGATGAATCGTCTCTCGAACAGCACCCAGCCCGGAAACGGTCGATCCTCCGAAGGGTGCGGATTGATTCCGACGCGAGCCCGTTCCAACACGTTCCAATGCTGATCCAACTGATTTCCAGCAAACTAAACTCTTCCCGGCGATGAATCGCTGTGTCGAACGACCACCACGACGACGACGACGAAGTCGCGAGACCCGCAGCCTCGCGTCTTGTTTCGTATTCATGAGAAGTCCGCGGCATTTTTCCTGCGCCCGATGATAAAGTTGGCTCGAAACTCGCGAAAGTTTGGCCGCGGAACAGTCGAATTGTTCGCGCGGTCGCCGCGGAAAGAATATTTAACAACGTCCGCGGCGAAATTGTTCGCGGTGGATTACGAGTCGGACCGCGGGTTTTCGTTATTTGTTCCTTTTCGTTCGCTTCATTTATTTTCGATTTATTCGTTCGCCTTTTATTCTTTTAACCGTTCGCTTTCGATTCGTCCTGGTCGTTTTAGAATTTCTCCAATTATACGTTAGATGAACTGCTTTTATTTTTATCTTATTCTTGTATTCTTTATTTTTATTTCTTTCGTCCTGCTTTTATTCTTTTACCCAATTCATTTTCGATTCGTTTTAGTCGCTTTAGAATTTCTCCAATTGGATATTAAGCGAACTCCTTTTATTTTTATCTTATTCTTGCATTCTTTATTTTTATTTCCTTCCTCCACCTCGCAATCTGGAAATGAGGATCCCTGAGGTCATTCGAAGCAACTTTTTCCTTTGCGAAAATGTTCTACGAGGCTCCGTTTGCGAGTTATTAGCAAAAAATGCTGACCAATTGCGAGGCGATGGGCGGGACTGAGCCTCGCGCGCTCGTTGGCTCGGCTGCCTCTCATTGGCCACCGTTTTTCGTTAATAACTCGTAAACGAAGCCTCGTAGAACATTTTCGCAAAGGAAAAAGTTGCTTCAAATAATCTCAGGGACCCTCATTTCCGGATTGCGAGGCATTATTGCGACACCCTGTACATGGATCGTCAATTATGACGACACGCAACGCGTTGGGTGAGACAAAATATAAATTTAAGGATGCTCCGAGGTTCTCGATCGGGAATTGTTGGAAAAGGAGCCGAAACGCTCGCGGCCGGTGCTCGGGGCGATCCCGTCGATCCCGTCGATCGTTCCAGAGGCACCGGCTTCGATCGTTCCGGCCGCGATCTCTACGGGATCGAGCGATTCCCGAGACCCGAGCAGAACCTCGCTCTCGACGGCTTTATTTTCGTACGATACGAGAACGCTGTTACGGGATTATATCGAAGACTGAGGACGAGCCAGCCGTTTTAGTTGCTCCCGGGGACCGGGAGCACCTTACACTGTATTATGTAACTGTAGACGCTGCTTCGGAGTATGTTCATGAAGCAGAGGCGAACCAGCTAAGGTTATGACGTCGTGTGTAACAGAGTTGGGTCATGTTTTATTCGAAGAATTTATTCGATATATTGTTCGAATAAAATGTTATTCGAAGAATTCATTTGTGATGTTATTCTGGTTAAATTTTATTTCGACGAGAAGAGAAAAATTGGTTTTCTAGCTTGACATTTCGCCTTAAATTATACATTGACGCTTACTTGTTCGAAATAATATTTCTTGGTTAGAAAATGTACTTATTTGTTAGAAAAGGTACTTATCTATTAGAAAAAAATACTTATTTATTAGAAAAAGTGTTCTTGCTTAGAAGAAGTTCTTATTTGTTCGAAAAATTACTTCTTGCTCAGAAAAAATTTCTATTTATAAAACAAATATTTCTCAGTTAAAAGAAGTTCTTATTTGTTAGAATCCGCTGAACTCTCAGCTTTCCACGACAGAACGTCGCGTCTATCGTTCCATACGGTCCAAGAATGACGACTTCCGGTCAGTCAGGAGCTCGCCCGCCATCTTGGAGCCCCTGGAAACCGCGTCGACCGCTCTCGGTCCCCAATTAAAACGCTCTA